AACAATGTAATGTCGAGGCTAATTTAACCACAATATTACACGTTTTCATAACAGCTGATGTTAATGTCAAGGCCAATTTCATAAATTAACATATTTCATTGGCTAATTTTATCACTCCTTCGCGAGTATATCCAATCAGGAGTTCGCCGGTACATGCGCTATTAAGTATTTCGTAATACCATTTTTACCAATAAATTAAAGTAAGGAAAAAGTAAGATGGAATATGACATCATTCAATAAATTCATATTTACCTGTTGTTCACTGTTATGAGACTCATTAAACAAGACAGAGTACGGGAGCTCGAAAAAGTCTTATAAAATGTAAGTGTAGCAGTCGCCAAATTACACGCCTTCCATTAAAATGCCCGGATGTTCTAAAACAAATACGAATTAGTAATATTGTTGTCGTCTCCATTCAAAACTACGGAAATTTCATCCTCATGGCTGCTTAATGACAAATAGGAAATGCTAATTTCTTTACGATTATCCGTGCATAAAGAAGAATCAGTTTGAAAACCTTTATGTAAATTGCTTAATTCCTTTAGATACTTAATTTTACTCGACCCGTCTTTACAGGATCAAAGTATTTTGAAAAACGTTAGACCTGTACCACACTATATGGTCGTGCTTTGAAGCCTTTATCGTGTTAGGGGTAAATGTGTTTCTAAATAAACGATAACCTCATATTTCATGATGAGTAAAATAAAATGTGAATAATTGAACAATGCGTTATCGTCGATCTAATTGTTAGATAATCATATGTGGTAATGTAATTAACTTCATAAATTAAATATGAAATGTTTTTATTCATAAGGACATACTGAACAGAGGCTTCTTATTCGTCAACGCAATAAAAAAAGCTGCTTTAATTGATCAGGTAAAAAAATTAAGCACACAACTAGAATACTTGTTCAATTATTCGAATTCATATAACATAACATGTAAATGTTAATGGTTCGGCCGTGGGTATCCGACAATGATTCGAATTTAACATTATTAATCATGTAACGATGGGTTATTGTTTATAAGGATAAAATGAAATATATTACCCTCTAACACGATAAAGGCTTTATAATTGTGACAAAACATCATGATACTGTCACGTTCAAACCATGACCATGTAGTGTGGTGACGTTTCTCAAAGTTTAAATTGTTTCTCAACATCACCGAGCATCTCGAGTAGCGTGCTCGCACGTTTTAAAATTCCAACCAGATTCGACCATAAAATTAAGTAAACCCATGTTTTTTTTTATAAAAATGCTCTCAAATACTGAAAAAACTCAATCAAGGAACAATGGTTAAACATACATGCACCTGACATTAACCTGGCACTAAGCTCTTCCTAAGTTTTTTTATGGGACTGAAAAATTTCTGTCGAGTTTCTTGCTGTGATAAACTTGATTGACTGTTGCGGTGCTTGATTTTATAAAACTCGATAATCTGCAATGGTTTTGTTCCTATATCAGTGATTAAACATGTTGCATTTGTGACTTTTATCTATAAGCAAATAAAAATATGGGACTGACAAATATGTTTTACAAAGTTTGTAACACTAACCCTTGATCTTAACGTATTCTTTAATTAATCTGATCGCGCGATTCGAATGTTTACAAGACCAGTCTTGCAAATAATGCGCTTCAAATTAAACAAGGAGAATATGTCCTCTGTTAGATTGTTTTTTTGTAAAACTGTTGTAATATTCTCTGTGTATTGCGTATCAAGAATCATCAATGAATGAATGTACAATAATGCGTGTCATATTTACGTCATGCACATTCATTCAGTTGGAATTATTCCACGACAATATTTATTTGCCAAATGTCTTATAAAAATATATTTTGCACTTTTATACTAGTTTATTGAATTTCTGTTCAGGTATTATATTCTTTGATCATTATTTTAATCTAAATACTGAAACCATGTTCAAACGAGTCTGATGATGTTGTAATCTATAATAATTATGTTAGACCCATTTTCTACGAACCGTCTTAGTGTACGTCAGGCTAAGTTATATTTGAGAAGACTCAAGAGCAGATGTGAAACCAAACAGGCAAATAAATTTTCAAACGTTGGTACATTTGAAGTTGTACTCATTAACTTTGCCCGGTGAATAAATCAAAATATGATAAGTTTGGAGTGACCAAAGGTCAGAGTTGACAGAAAAAAGCTATATATCATATAACTCCATTAAAGCAGCGTGCCTCCATATTCATGCTAATTATCATGAAAAAATTGAAAATTAATGTATTTAAAGGAAGGAACAAAGTAATTTGCACATTGCAAACGGCTCTTACATTACTAAAAATGCAAAAAAATAATCTTATTGCGTTAGTTTGAGACAGTAGAAATATGGTGATAAATAAATCAGTCTTTATTCGCACATAACATGTAAAGTACTTTTTACTTTTCACCAAATTTTACATTTGACATTTTTCTCAAGTTTGATTTTCTTCATCTGGATACGATGTGTTTTTTTGGTTTCATCAAACAAAAAACACACAAAAACACATCAGACACATGCCGACGGTGTATACTTGTTGACATGATCTTTACAATAAGCTTATACATGTACAAAGAAAGGGCATTCGGACATCTTAGAGATAAAATGTTTTAACACAATTTTTTAAAGCTGGTAAAAATGATAAAAAAAGCTGGTAAAAATGATAAAAAAGCACTCGTTTTAAAAAGTTCCGTTTCATATAGACCTCAATCGTACATTTAAGACAATAAGGAAAAGGGTAATGTTTGTGATAACCTTTATTATCAAACACATTGACAGTCCAGATCTATATTTGATGTTCCTTACTGCATGTTAGGCTATGCCATTGAGTAGTGTCCCTGGCGTTCTTGCTTATGTACCAGAACACATCAACAGACTTGTCCTCTAACATAGCTGTATTATTTGAGGCGCTTGGAATCTGTAAGCTTTGTAGTAATTTGTAGTATCAAGTCTGTGTTGGATATACTGATAATATAATGCTGATTCAATCACAGTATAAACAAACATAATAAATTATTATGCACAATAAAGTTATCATCATCTTAATTTATTGAAAACTGCCTAGAGAAGTTAAGTATTGACTTTTGAATTCTGATAGTAAAACCCTCATCAGAAATAATAAGCGATGCTGTCCGTCTATACATTAAACCTTAAATTAATAAGTTTTAAATTTTTCGGTCGTAGGCAGTTTTATTTTACCAGGACTTCCGGTAAATTTACGGACTATTCGCTAGCCTTTTCAGGCAATCCGTATGCTATTATAATTTTAATTTACCATTGATAATATTTGTGTATTAACCCTTACCCTGCTGGCAATAACTGATTGAAAATGAATTGAAGTACGAGTCCAGTGCAGAACAACAGGGGGCCCGGGGCTGCTGGCTATTCGGCTAATACATAAATTGGAAAGAAATTCTACCGAAAATAGAATGGCTTTGTTCAGATTGAAAGATTAATATGTCCATTTAATAAATTAATTGTTACAAAAATGTATATGGTTAAAAAGAACACATAATATGATCGGAAACAGTAACTGCCTTAACAAGGTTTATCACCACAGTCTGTCTATTTGTTTATTTAAGGCTATATGGTAACTATAAACACCTTATTTTTTTCAGTGAAGAAATAAAACACTCATTATACCATAAATAATCTTTATTTTACATGTGAAAATAAAAATATGCATAGTGACTTTAATCATTTACAATGATACATGTCTTGAACGAATGAGTCAACACATAATGAATGGATCATTTAGATCATTAATGGTTGTTTAACAAACAGTAAATGAATGAAAAATAAATGTTACAATGGCGTATTAGCAACAGTAAAAAATACAGAGATTGATTTAAAAAGTAGTTGCTCAGGATAATGTACTCACACAAAAATGTTCTATCTAAAAGCCCAAAAAAATAAGCGGATTCTATTGTAAAAGCCTAAAGATTTCAGAAATAAACTAGAAATGTGTCCATAGGACACGGGTGCCCCCACCGCGCCACTGTTCTGTCAATCTTTTTACTAAGTCAAGGGAAATAACTCTACAAATACTGGATAAATCCACAAGCGAAACCCCAGGTGCAAATCTAAATATGCTGAGCAATCTGCCCGTAAGGTTTAATGAATATGTCAAATCCTTTTTGAGAAACTTGCGACACAAGTTGAAAATTGCAAAAATTTTCTAAGTGAAGGGCAATAGCTCTAAAAATACTAAATAAATCCAGACGAAAATACCTGGTGCACAACTGCACATGCTGATCAACATTCCTATAAAGTTTCATGACTCTAGGTCAAATACTTTTTGAGTTACGTGCGACACATGTTGAAAATTGCAAAATTTTACTAAGTCAAGGGCAATAACTCTGAAAATACTAATAATATCCACACAAAAATACCCAGGTGCACAACTACACATGCTGATCAACATTCCTGTAAAGTTTCATGACTCTAGGTCAAATACTTTTTGAGTTACATGCGACACAAGTTGAAAATTGCAAAATTTTACTAAGTCAAGGGCAATAACTCTGAAAATACTAAAAATATCCAGACGAAAATACCCAGGTGCACAACTTCACATGCTGATCAACATTCCTGTAAAGTTTCATGACTCTAGGTCAAATACTTTTTGAGTTACGTGCGACACAAAAGTGAACGGACGGACGGACGGAAGGACGGACGGACGGACGGACAGACGGACGGACAAGGGTAAATCTAAATGCCCGCCACTAACGTGGGGGCACAAAAATCCAATTCCAAAACTATCTCAATTCTAAATAAACAAAGTATAATATTTTCGCTCACACTTTTAATGTTGTAAAAAATAAATCGTTTTTTGAAATTGAAAAAAAAAATAATAAAAAAATTATTTATCTAAAACAAAATAATTAAAATTCTCCAGTTTACAAACTGAAACATTTCCAACATCTTTTAAGTAGCTACATGTTTTTCACAAAAATAAATAAACAAACAGAAGGTATGCAACATATAAGCATGTTTTCTAGGCATCCTAGGCATAGATCTAGTTATTCAGACATATAAATTTGTGATATAAGTACATACTTCAGTGAGCACAAAATGACATTGCGAATTTCAAATATGAAAATTCTTCTAAATATAATGTTATCAATACAGCTTTTTATTTTTACAACTGTTAAACAGTTGCACATAGCTGAGCTAAATTATACTTCTGTAAAACATAAAATGTTAAAACATTTTGGTTTTACTCTCACAATATGAGACAAATATATATTACAAAGTTGTAGCTAAAATCTTTTAAAGGAATTCTCATTAAAATTATTTAAAGCACATTTTTTAATTTAAACTATTCAATGCTAAACTTAAGATAATTTGCCCAAAACATCTGAAATTTCATTAAACATACTTGAAAAAGCGACATACTCTTGACTTAATTTTTTTCTGATTCAAAACATTTAAACCAAACATGATGAAAATATTTGTTCCAATAAGCCATATGAAAGACTTTGGTTAATCTTACAATACGATTTCATTACACTTCCAGCATCACCCTTTGGCACATGTTAATTTTGAATTTCAAAAACAGATTAAGTTTTGGTTGAGTTTTAACAAACCAACTCTGGTAAAATAGCAATAATCAAGTTTTTACTGGCGCATTAAACATGCCAGGATCCTGTGCTAAACACTACCTAGAGTATGTATACACTCAAGAAACTTTTCTCATACCAGTTGGTGGCTTCCTACTCTTAAAAATCACAAGTGCCTATCCATCCATAAAGAATTTTAAGGTCAACAACGATTTTTATTACTACTGTCATTACATTATACATACTCTTATCATTATAATTTAATGAAAGTCTGATGATTGAAGATAACCTTACTGAAACAAGCAATAATGCTCTCAAGACCAGAAAGCATTAGCATAAAGACTTATTTTTCCTTTTGCTATAACCTATTCTTATCAATTTGGGAAATTTTAATCTTGTAATATGTGAAGCGTGAATACTGGAAAAAATGTCCCCACTTCCCCCCTTAAAAAAACAAACCCAGTTACCCTGTACAATTAACTTTTGTTTTTATAGGTTAACCATAAATGCCCAATAATATGCTGCAGGTAATAAAGAATGATGTATGGAAAAAGCTTTTGTAAGTTTTACTGATGTAAACTGGGAACATCAACACTTTTTGTACATTCAGAAAAGGCCAACATCTTCCCAATTTTTTTTTAATATAAAATGACAACACTGCTAATATACCACTTTCAAACACTTCATAAAGACCTCTTTATCTTGATCATTTACATTTTACACAGTTAATACAAACAATAAATTAAATAAACTTGCAGAAAATATTTAAATTGAAGAATACATCTTAACAATATCTTGTTATTAAAAAACCTACTTAAATACAGTATGACAACTGGATAAACTTATTTAAACTTCATAAAACACTAATAAAAACTAGATATATGTATCTGTAATAAAGATTTTTTTGTCAAACAAACTTCTAATATATTCCATGCTTTGCAAACCAAGTTAAATTTAACAAAAATTTTCTTCATAAATTTGCCATAGCAGTGAAACCTCAGACTAATGTTCAAGTAAGATGTTAACTATGGGTTTAAAAAAAGAGTTCAAACTATGTAGATGTAATGAAATGAAAAAGGTAAAAAAAAATTCTTAATTCTACTTTTATGAAAATGCCAATACAGAATTTAATACAAATTTTAAAATCTTTATACATGTACTAAACAAAGACATTAGTATACTCAAAGTAACACAGAGGTACATACAGACAGAGTGACATATGATTTGTGCAAAAATTAAAACCACAACAATCAAATATCAGCAGTTCTGAAGGAAAAAAGTATTTGATTTATACACATGCATTGTAACAGTTATACCATGTACATTATCACTACATACATGTCCAACAACAATATTTATCAATATAAGTATTTGATGTAACACATGAAATTAGCCTAAGTTTATGTAATGGATTTGTGCAGTATTGAATTTGGAACAGCATGTTTAAAGTTTCAGGAAATTCAATATGCAGGTTAAAGACATAGTTAAATAGATTTTGTATTGTAAGGGAGGTAATAATTTCTGCTGGATTTCAATAAAACAGAAGTAAAAAAACTATGCGGGAGAGATTAAAGGTAATACGTATTAAATAATAAATGAAATTGAAACTCAATTGAAATGCAGGCAATAACATTGGTGTAAATGATAAAAGTAATCAACTATACATGTGCACTGCATCTTTTTAGTTTATTACTCTGCAAATTAAGTGTACATAATTTGAACATTCTAAAAGAGAAATGTCAAGGGACAAGGGAGGCAATTTTCTACAGATGGATTATAGAACAAGTTAGTAAGTTATAATTGAATCATTACAGATCAAGGGAGATAAATATATCACTAAAGTGACATAGTGCTAATAATGATATCAGCCTATCATCACACCCCTAAACTTAAAATCCCTCCAAAAAAACTGTCTTTACAATATTGTGATAAGTTTGGCTCTGTATTTAACTTCTTAACATAATCATGTTAAAAACAGATCATAACATGTGTTAGAAAATAATCTTTTGAAAATAAAAAACAACAATAAAAGTAATGTAGAATCATTATGTGGTCTATGAAACATTAAAATCAATTGTACAAGTCTAAAATGAAACAATCTGAAACTCAGCATAAAAACCAAATCTAGATATGCAATTAAAACCATATACAGGAATGTAAAAGCAAGTTTTAAAACACACTTAACCTATAGTGTAACAGCAAACAGGCACAACTATATTAACATAATTTGTCATGTTATAAACAAACCTCAGAATGTCACATTTAAACTCCTTAATATAAAATCTACACAGTTATGCAATGATTTCAAATGAATTTGCAAGTTCAATATGTATAATGTATTTGTGTATGCCATGCTAATATCCCAGCAGCCAAAACTTGACCTTATCTCCTATCATTTAATCATCAAAGAATAACCAAGTTATCCATTTTTGCAACATTTTTCCATCCCTATCACATCCATCACTGAAATTCTAAGACAGTTTTATGGATTTAGATCCATGCAGCATAAGTATATTACTTTACATACAATTCTAATAACATTTCTTTTCAAGAGTACTGAAACATAACAGCATTTTTAAGTTAGACATTGGCAAGACACTAAAAAATAAATAGCATAAAGTAAATAGAAATATTTTTGAAATTTTCTGTATCTGTACATAACCTCCAATTACATGCTACAAAATTCACTGAATCAGTTTATAAATAAAATTCACTTAAAATTCCATCTAGCATCTTCAAACTTCACATTTTATTATAAAACATAAATAATTGAATAACATAAAATGTCTTAAAGCTAAATCATTTATCTTTTTTGGAATCTTTTTCATCTGTGTTTTCTTCTTTATCTTTAGTGCCAGCTTTTTTATCATCTGTTTCATCATCAGGATTTTTCTGTACATTTCTCCGTCTTACTGGAGCATCACCATCTTCTGTCTCTGTGTCATCTATAATGTCTCCTTCCTGTAAAATAACCTAGAAATTAACATTCATTGCACTAGTTGTACATAATGTAAGATCTACACCTATAGTTAAGATCCAAATCAGCCTGCATATCCATGCATAGTGACCGGACGATACTGTTTTACCTCACAATTCTTGTACAAGTTAAGAACAAGACCAACCTGAATGTCCATGCAAAATGACCAGAATTATGGCAGAATATAATGTTGACCCCTCATATTCAATTATTGTATGTACTCGTAAATCACAAGGCCAACCTGCAGGTTAATTTATTGTAGTTTATCAATGATTTTGTATTTTGTATTATAAAATCCTAATGCAAAGACTATTTTTTGTTGTTGTTGGGCTTTACATCGCACCAACCAGTATAGGTCATATGGTAACTTTCCAGCTTTGCTAGTGAAGGAAGAAGTGCATTTTATTCCAGACACGAACAGACTGGACTGATTGATAGTTTTAAAACTTAAGCAGCACAACTTCATTACAGATATGCACAGTATTGTATACTGAGTAAAGTAATTGTAGAATAATACATAAATTACATAAGAGCCGCGTCACGACAAAACCAACATTGTGCGTTTGCTACCAGCATGAATCCAGACCAGCCTTTGCATCCGCGCAGTCTGATCAGGATCCATGCTGTTCGCTTACAGACCCTATAACGAGTAAATAAACTGATAGTGAACAGCATGGATCATGATCAGACTGTGCGGATGCGCAGGCTGGTCTGGATCCATGCTGGTCGCAAACCCATTATGTTGGTTTGGGGGGTCGTGACGCGGCTCATATATAAAATAACCATCAAGATTGAAATAAAGAGTATGGAGATTGATAAGACAGCATTTAAACAAAACCTCAGTATAGACTCTTATAATCATTTCACAAAACTAAGTTAGTAAGTATTCTTCTAAGATTTGTCTTAAAAAATGGAGGTCCTTGTTAAAAGGATAATGCACAAAACAGGGGATCTTATCTTATCTTATCTTAAGTAAAAATACTCACACAGGACAGTAAAAGAAAAACAATCTGAGACAAATTTGCTTGATGCAGCAGCAGTTTATATTTCAATGCAGTCCTTAACTAAGCATTGACTGTATATGCAAATATCATACAAGACAGACTATAGTAATTGATTGGAGTATTGCATTTGCATGCTATTGACAATTTTGTTGGTAAATCACAGCATCTCACAGAAAATGTAGAAGCTTAAATCATACAGAAAAAAAGTTCACAGGAAATTCATACTTTGCAAGTAATTAGTGAATATTGTAAGCACAATATTTCAAAGCTTGTTGCCATAGCATTATATGAGAAGGAATGGCCATTTTTGATTATCATTATTACTTCATAAATCAATAAATACAACTAAACAAACCTGAAGAACACAAACATCCAAATGCTTTGAGCAATATCAAGTATAATGACTTGCCATAGCTGTCTAAGTGAAGTCAGACAATACTGTATATCAGTGCAGTCACACTTACTACTGGATACTCTATTTCAGTATTAATTTCTCATTATCAAACCAGTTGATTTTCATAAACAGACCAACTCAGCTTGTACTGAGTTATCTCTGACTCTGTCATCAACTCTTTATCATTTTGTGTTGTTCACATAAAATGAGCCGAGTCATGACAAAACCAACATAATGGGTTTGCGACCAGCATGGATCAGGATCTATGCTGTTCACTTACAAACTCTATAACAAGTGGGAACTGATAGCGAACAGCATGGATCCTGATCAGACTGCGTGGATGCGCAGGCTGGTCTGGATCCATGCTGGTCGCAAACCCATTATGTTGGTTTTGTTGTGATGCGGCTCAAATACAACATAAAATACAACAGAAAAGGAAATAAAATACAACAGAAAAGGAAATGAAACATTTCTGTAATGATACTTGCTGGTCATCACTACCTAAGTATCACTGTACAATGGTTTTAATGCAGTCCCACATTGTTGTATACATACATGTGTACAAGTAGTACTATAAATAATTATATATTATGTTCCTTTCATTATAATTGTACAAAAATTACTAGAATGTGGGATACTTGTCAGTGCAATGGTTGGTTGGCTCAAGTTAATATATAAATGTTGCCTTTATGTGTTAGGGTAGGGACTAATTTTCTCATATCCTCAGTCCACTTTATTAAGGTACTAAGCTTGAAATGCTTCTGTGAAAAATCATTTAATTTGTTAAAAGTATCATCAGAAAATTAATTGTTTAAAAACAACAGGATGGCAAAACATACAACTATTTCTGTCATTTTCAAATTTTATTTGCATAAGCACTTAATAACTTGCTACTCTTCACTACTTCTCAAACTATTTAAACAGTGTAAGTGTCAAATAATATTAAATGCAGTGATGTTAAAAATAGTTCAGGCTTAATAATCTACAAATCTGTAAGTTTTTCTATAACATTTTTTTCATATATTTTAAATTTTTCAATATAATGTATAAAAACATGTGCTTTATTGCTATTTTTTGTTATAACCAAAAAATAATATAAGTTTGTATTTATTCTGCAATCAAACTGCTGCTCTGCATAATCATTCTCACTAAATCATTTATATTATTACACATGTTTTATTATTAGTACATGTACAAGGTTTGTTATAAAGTATGTGTATAGCAGTGATTTTTTTGGCCGAGTTTGACCCCGAAATAAGGCCTCTTCACAATGCCTAAAAAACATAAAAAAATCACAAAAATGTGTAAAAAGAATTCACAATAAGCAGGATTGCTTTTCAGTACCAAACAAAATAATGAACTGAGAATTTCTTGAGAATTTGAGTGATATATTTGAGGGAATAAAAAGAAGAAAGCTGAAACTATGAACATAATTATTAAATGTATGAATAAAGTGAGTACAGGTGATGATTTATTCTTGTTTATTTTTTCACAATTTGACAGATTATCAATTTATCACGCAAAAATTCCAGGGGTACGGGTTGCTGTGAAAATAGTAAAAAAATCACTGTGTAGACTGTCCCCACATATTTTCAATACTGTGGTCATCAAATATTTAAGATCGTATTTTAAAATAGGAAGGACTTGTTTCTAGTGTAATTTATTTTTCCAAGGTTTTTTTTTACACCAAAAATGTTAAACTTGGTTGACACAACTTTTTCCGTTATATCATTCCAGAAGCTCAAAGCTTAAAAATTCAAGCATTTAAAAAACCCATAAAAGTTATCCCATGAAAGTTATCCAAGCGTAACCTTTTAATTGCTTACAAGTTGTAAAACTTTATAAAACTATTACACAAAAGGAAATGAAACAGGCCTGTACAGTTATACTAGATATATAAAGGAAGAGATCATTATTAAACAGGAAAACAAACTCTTGGCTTTTTGTTATCATTTATCAAAATCTTGCTATTACTTAGAAGTTAGATTTCCTCCCCTTAATACAACCAAGTGCAGAAAAATACTGATACATTTGTTTTTAATATTTTTATATCACCATAGTGCAATAACTGATTAACTCCTATTAAATTTAGAAGGAATTATTCCGTTACTGCTCTAAGGGGACATAAAATAGATTTTTTTTTTCTTCTTAAAAAAGGAAGTGAAGCTTCTTTAAATTTTCTCTTTTATAGTTCATATCCACACAGTATTTTAAAATGTCTGCAACTGACATAAAGTATACTTTCAGCTCACAATATATCCTTAGCTGCCTTTTTTTCAATTCCATAACCACTAATGTACTTTCTCTGATTCTATTTGAAACAGTTATCTGGAATTTTTGAGGGAAAGTCTGTAGCAATGAGTGCATCAATAATGCCATGATATGTAATGTGATAAATCAATTACAGTATATTATATAATATATACATTAACGTTCTCATCTGCTTTTTAAAACAAAATTTCAATCATGTCAGGGGCAAGCCGTTGTTTCCTTGAGCAAGAAACTTTACATTAATTTCTTAGTACTGGTTGGTTTCAGGAACGGATTTGAGAGTGTTTCAATAAGCTTATAGCTTCCAACACAATCAAACTAAAATAAATTTATATAAACTAATCAGGTCAACATGATCAAAAAGTAACCATGACACAAAGAAGAAAACAATATGATATCTACTGACATAAATCTCTTATTTGCCTCGGAAGATGCTCGCCTGAACAGAGGAACAGGAAGTACCGTATTTGTAAAAATCAATCTCAATATCTCACATGAGTTTACAATCTTGAATGAAAATAATACATCTTGATTAAGATAATTATTCCATTGTTGTAATCAAACCCTTTTTTTCTATATAAATTTTAAGGCAATTTTCTTTTCCATTTTGTTGGGGTCTTGTGGTTCAATAACAACATTCAATTGACATTGATCAAATGTTTACTATCATAAGTTTTGTTTTATTAATTGATTTTAAATTTGTAATACCTGCCACTCTATGTTTTAGTAGCTGAATATTTAAGAAGAACACAATTCCTAATTGATCATTCATTGTGTTACAGTGACAGTGATTGGTCTACTAAAATTATCATATAATTATGCCCCCAGTCTTAGTAATTTAAACAAAGCAATCTAAAACTAATTTTACTATCCATGTCATTTCAAGGCCTTGATGCTGAAACTTTAACAGTTTAATTCATATTATGAAATACACAAGTTATAACACTCTTTGTATTATTTATCTCGTAATGAACACACAAGATATTAAAAGGACTAGAAATGTGTCATCATGCCACGGATGCCCCCGCATGCAGCCAAAATTTCAGATGTTATAATATTTAGTTCCAAATTTGTTTGCACAAATAATTTTTTTCATTTTAAGTTCAAAGCCCTTAAAACTTTTCAATGTTAACACAAACCATTTTCATACAATGTTCAAGGCACTGAAATTATTCAGTCTAAACCTTTTGAAAATAGCATATTTCATATTTGTAGCCAAAATAATGGCTACATATATTTCAGTGCTGAAACTGAAAGTTCAAAATTTTTACAACATTCAAGAAAGATAAGTTTGTCCAAAATCATTGAACCACGACCAAATTCAAACTTAAACTGCTTATTCCTAAGATGTGTCTATATTATTTTCAAAGTGAAAGGGACATAACTCTGCCAAAAAGTCATCGAACCATGACCAAATTCAAACTTGACCTGCCCATTCCTTTGACATATCCATATGTCAAATTTGAGTAGTTGGGTAGATAATGAACAGAAACTGTAAATTTCATATTATTTTCAAAGTGAAAGGGGCATTACTCTGCCAAAAATCATTGAACCATGACCAAATTCCAACTTGGCCTGGGCATTCCAAAAATATCTCCATATGTCAAATTTGAGTTGAATGTGTTGTACCATTGGGGAGATAATAAACAGAAACTGAAAATTTCATATTATTTTCAAAGTGAAAGGGGCATAACTCTGCCAAAAATCATTGAACCATAACCAACTTTGAACTTGACCTGCGCATTCCTGTGACGTATCCATATGTCAAGTTTGAGTTAAAAGTGTTGTACCATTGGGGAGATAATGACCGGAAACTGAAAATTTCATATTATTTCCAAAGTGAAAGGGGCATAACTCTGCCAAAAATCATTGAACCATGACCAAATTCGAACTTGACCTGTATTTTCTCACGACATATCCATATGTCAAATTTGAGTTGAATGTGTTGTACTGTTGGGGAGATAATGAACAGAAACTGAAAATTTCATATTATTTTTAAAGTAAAAGGGGCATAACTCTGCCAAAAATCATCGAACCATGACCAAATTCGAACTTGACCTGTATTTTCTCATGACATATCCATATGTCAAGTTTGAGTTGAATGTGTTGTACCATTGGGGAGATAATGAACGGAAACTGAAAATTTCATATTATTTTAAAGTAAAAGGGGATATAACTCTGCCAAAAATCATCAAACCATGACCAAATTCGAACTTGACCTGTATCACGACATATCCATATGTCAAATTTGAGTTGAATGTGTGCAACCGTTACTAAGATAATGAACGGAAACTGATGATGACGGAATGACAGAATGACGGAATGACGGAATGACGGAACAGGGTAACACTATATGCCCCGGCCATTACATGGCGGGGGCATAATAAAAGAAATATTTCTACAGAATTTATTTTTACATTACCTTATCTATATGTGGCTGCATCAAGCCTTGTGGTATGGGTGGAGGAATATCTTTTGTTGGACTGATCACATCACATAAACACACCAATAACTGTAAATACACATATCATGTAATAACATTTTATTAACAACAATAACTGTTAATATATATATCATATAATAACATTTTATCAACTACAATAACTGTAAATATATATATCATTTAATAACATTCTAATAACTATAATAACTGTAAATATACATACCATGTAATTACATTCTAATAACTACAATAACTGTTAATATATATATATCATGTAATAACATTCTATTAACTACAATAACTGTAAATATATGTATTGTGTAATAACATTCTATCAACTACAATAACTGTAAATATACGTATTGTGTAATATCATTCTATTAACTACAATAACTGTAAATATACGTATTGTGTAATAACATTCTATTAACTACAATAACTGTAAATATACGTATTGTGTAATAACATTCTATTAAATACAATAACTGTAAATATACGTATTGTGTAATAACATTCTATTAACTACAATAACTGTAAATATACGTATTGTGTAATAACATTCTATCAACTACAATATCTGTAAATATACGTATTGTGTAATAACATTCTATTAACTACAATAACTGTTAATATACGTATTGTGTAATAACATTCTATTAACTAAAATAACTGTAAATATACGTATTGTGTAATAACATTCTATTAACTACAATAACTGTAAATATGTATATTATGTAATAACTGTTCTAACAACTACAATAACTGTATTGTGTAATAACATTCTATTAACTACAATAACTGTAAATATGTATATTATGTAATAACCGTTCTAACAACTACAATAACTGTAAATATACATATCATGTAATAACATTCTATTAACTACAATAACTGTAAATATACATATTGTGTAATAACATTCTATTAAATACAATAACTGTAAATATACATATCATGTAATAACATTCTATTAACTACAATAACTGTAAATATACGTATTGTGTAATAACATTCTATTAAATACAATTACTGTAAATATACATATCATGTAATAACATTCTATTAACTACAGTAACTGTAAATATACATGTACATATTATGTAATGACAATCCATCGACAGCAAGCAATATTTAGTACTGCAACTGTGACAGAACCAGAGTTTCTAGATTTCTTATCAGTACATATTTATTTATTCCTATAGTATATAATCATTTTCTTACTTACAAAACACTTATATCAGAAACATGACATGGTGGCATTAAATACTAAACATTGAGCAAGATGATCACAAACAATTGTAATTTGTCAAGTCATACCAATTGATCTACCAATTCAGGTATCTGAGCACTGGCATTTGAGACATATAAAATGCTTACCTGTACAATCAACAGTAAGGACATCAAGCCAAAACAATTTAAAGCCAAGTCTTAGATAATTATATTAGATTAAAGTTTAATCAGGCACTGATAATTAAGTCAATAACCCCTTACCAATGTATCATAATTTTTTACTGTCTTATTGTGTACTGAGTTGGAAAGTAGGCTTTGGTTAGCAGTTAACCAGGTTTACATTATATCTATAAATATTATGATAAAACTATCAATTATAATAGCCAATCAACAGTGCATTATCACATGCTAAGAATAATTCCACTTATTAGTAGATTACATAAAATTTGTTATGTATCCTTTCAAAGTTTAATCCCTTAGATACTCTCCTTTTAATCTTGCGGCATTGTCTGATAATAGAAATAACTTTTTGCATAAAAGAAATTATTTTATTATACCATTTTCTTGAATAAAAGTTCAATTTGATGTGAAGATGATTAATGTATTGGGTACTATTGGTGATATTAACAGATATATGTCACCAATATAGAGCCAGGATATCTTGCATATTATTTCAGTCTGTCTAGGTTTTATTCTGCAAGCTGCTCAGTCAATTATTCTGAATTATGAACCTATTTAAGTACTATTGGACTCTTCTAAACTGACAGCAGGGACAAGCCATTATAAAAACCCAGGGACATAACAAGTATATGTAAGGAATACTTACCAGACCAAGGAGAAGACCTGTGACTATAGTTAGTAGAGCAAATATAACATAACATCCCCACTCTGGTATACCATACTCATCTGTCATTAATGTATAAAATGCCTGAAATATTCAAAAGTTATAAAGTACAATTTCAATAATCAGTCAGACATATTTTATATTCACTAGTTTTTGAGAAAATGTTACATGCCGCATAATACACAGTGGTATCTGTGGAAACAAAAGAACCACATGCTTGTCTGTTAAAGATTCTAAGTTAATAAGGGGCATAACTCCAAAACTATTGTTTAAAGAAATATGCCCCTTGTCAAACAACTGCATCTTGTCATGATAAACAAATGTTTTTAGATTCTTGTTGATAACTTTTACAATGTTTGAATGATGGGCTACATTAAAGTTCTTGCACAACTAATAACACCGCCAGAGTGATCATAATAGCTCAGTTTTTTCTTCCAAACAGATGAGCTAATAATAAAAAATAGCCTTTAGAAACATGTGTTCAACATAAAGTTTTAGCACTATTTCTCTCTTTTTTCCATTTATAAGTATTATCATTACATGTAAAAATAGATAAATCTAACAAGCTGAAACATATTTCAACAGATGAACATATCAATAAATATATGATTGTTTAAAACTTATGTGGTTGTCAATGTATAAAAAATTTAATTAGAAACAGAAATCATTCATTTTTGTGCAAAATACAATTATACATGTAAAGTGAGAGAGCAGGAGGGCAATAAATATATGGACATGTAGCTGTGATGTACTCATTTATCCTTGCGCTAATTTGGAGACAGGCTAGACTGCATGTCTGCACATTCTTAACAGCAGATTTGTTTGTGAATTTAAGTTCAGTATTTTGATAATGAAAATTCCTCAACAGATCAAATTACTGTTAAAATTCTTAAGACATGTTAAAATGACTAAAGTATTCAGAGCATTTTCTGTCATAGACATACCGGCCTTTTTTGTTTTTGTTTCTTTTGTACATGGATGATAACATGTAATTGTAAAATGCCTTTAACCAAGAAACTGTTCAACTACTTCTAGAATACTAGTAGAAGTCAAACTCAAAGTACTCAATGCAGAATACATGTATAAGAACTTACTCTTATTTTCATTGCCATTTTGAAAAACAGTCCAACCATACCCATCCTGTTAAAAACAAAGTATAAGAATTAAATTTGAAGTTTTTTTTTCTCCAAGAAACATGTGAACATATCAGATTCAGAATGCAAAAATGGACCAGAAAATGACAGTATATAAGAAAATTCAAGTGTAATGTTTATTGTTCAGAATTGAAAATTAATTTCCATTCTTACACACATACTTGGAACAAAGTACACCAAAGTTTTTTTGTTTTTACTAAATAATAAATGATCTTAAAAACATGAGAAAGGTTAAGTTACAGCAGCTCTTTTATTATTCATTTATAACATTGATAAAATATTATATTTTTAAGGCCACCCTAATAAAGAATGTGCCCATTGCCTAACTGTTCAAACATTTTTTGTTCCCATCATGCTATGTCCGCACAAAAATGTGACCTCAAACTGCTCAAACCCACAATCCCTAGTTTATATGGCAGTTACAAGTACCCACATTCTGCCAATTATTTATTGTGCTGAGACTTACTGAATGGAGTCTGGAGCAGTCCATTTGGAGACAGGCTGTACATCTTGCCATCTTTTATCATCAATGAATGTTATCAGGTCACTTTCGGTTCTACCACTCACATACTGCCGAAATATTCCATCCTTCACGCTGAAAATTTGACACATCTATTATTGTAGATAGCAACTTGATGTTTTTAAATCATTATTAATGAAGGTTTCTAATTATGATCATTTATACTAATAATGAACTAATAACATGAAATCTTTCTATTATATAATACATGTACATGTAAGCATCGTTGTGGATGTTAATATTCCTATCCATTTCCTACATTGCTATAAATAGCTATAGATAATGATTTCTGCCAAAAATTGAGTTGTTCTTTCACAAATAAGAATTTTTTTTAAGCATTGTTTATGTACCATATAATTTTATCTTATTACTATCAATTGTAATTTTATAAAGCAATGAACCATTTGATCCTGATCCACGATCCTGATATTTCGTTAGTGAACATGGGCCTGAGTTATCAAAACTAAGATTACCCTGTAAACTTGACACACAATATGAACAATTAAACTGACTGTTTGGTCTTAATAATATCTGTCATATGTTACTGTTCAGGTCGGAATATTCGTCCCGAGGGCAACCCGCCCATTGGGCAGTAACGAGGCTTGCCAAGTTACTACTCATATGCAGGTACCTAAGGAACGGATATTTCGATCTAAACCATAACATATGACAGATATTTTTTCTTGCATATTCTGCCATATTATTTCATATTTAAAATGGTTATAAAATACTTGTTCATGGAAATGAATGTTATCTCAAACATATCTGTTTTCTTACAGCAGCATATGAATTTACAACTTTAATAACAACTGCGAAATGATGACATCATTCTAAGCACATAGTTCCCTTCTTATCTGTGCTGAAATGACGTCATTTCAACGTGGTTCATTCATAAAATGCGCCAGTCAGCTATGCAAGAATAATTAATAAAGATAAAATTATGTAAGAAATTAAACAATTTTTATGAAAATTAATATCTAGAGACTATAAGTTTACTGGTATATCGAAGGAAGTGCGGTGATCAAGAAACGTCCACTAAGACCAGGACAGGTTGTTACATCTATCACTCCAACTTGTATATCTAAATCTCTACTCCACTTCTTAGCAAAATTATCCCAAGTATCTGTAAATGCCCTACAAGCTGGACACCATGGCGCCATACTGAAATAAAGAGATATTAAAGGGAAAAACAAGGTTAGAATAAAAACTTGATTTCAGAAAAAGAATACTATAAATAATAAATCTGCAAATTTTCTGCCGCCAAATAATAATATTAAACGAATGATAACAAAATTTAAATCGCTAAATCACCGATTTCTACAAATCAGTAAGCGCGGCCATGTTTGTGTATTGGCCGTATAAAAACAGGTGCGCGTGATGTCATTTCCCCACATCTTTAGATTCGTGATAAATCTAGTTGAATCGTAAGGAAATATTAATATAATAAAGTATTGACCAGACAATTTAATTTTCACAGGAGGTGTAGAGGAGATTTTTTTATGGTTCAAAATACGTAACAATATCAAAAAAAAAAAAAATAAAGAAACGTACGGCTAGCCAAAAGTTCTAGCCGTACGTGAGTCACGAACGACTAGCCAGGACGCACTGTATTGTCTAGCCGTACGGCACTTTTCAAAATTATATGGAAGTCGAACGTTATAAAATTGTTGATTTTCATGCTTATCATTTGTTGTTTTATTTGTATGAATTATTTAATCATTTTTGTTAATTTTAAGCACATGGATCGAATAAAAAATGATCGGAGTGGAATAAATAAATAAAAAGAACATTGAATGAAAAAAAAACGGTGAAATGCAAAAATAATTATATAATTTTCAAAACAGTAGATAAATATCGAACATAAAAGCACAGTCAATCAATTAATTAGCCTTAATTAAAACCTATCCAGGGACTGACAATAGAATTTTAGAATGCCTTTCACGGAACATGCAAACTTTCCTTGATGGACAAACTTCTATACAGTACCGTCGGTAATTGTCGCAATTATCAAGAGCCTAACAACAATCATTTTCAGTGTTTGTTGTTTTTTTTTTCATATAAAAGGTGTCGAAAATTAAACTTAATGAAACAAAAAAGGATTATTATCAAAATTTTGTAAACTATTTCAATTGGTGTAAATGCAAGCAAAGGCTATTTTTTCTCGACATCTTGCGATGACAAAGATCGATATATATATAGCGATCAAGGCGATTAATCTCTAAAAAGTTAACATCCAAAGACAATTAATGCTGTTTCTTGGTTAAAATCCTCGCTTAAAGTCATAAAATAACATATGCATTTTCGACTTCCATAAAATTTTGAAAAGTGCCGTACGGCTAGCCAATACAGCGTGTCCTTGCTAGTCGTACGTGACTCACGTACGGCTAAAACTTTTGGCTAGCCGTACGGGCCCGTACGCTAGCCACTTCCATTATAAAAACCCTACTAAAACGTGTTCTTAATAGTACATATAATTAAATTTTTGCAGTTTGATTCTGACTTTCAAATTTAAAGGTGTGAACATATGTTATAATTGATGTACACATGTCAAAAATATAAGCAACTCTTTTGAAAAGTAAATTGTTAACATGTCTGTCAACGTATGATGCTGCGCATCGTAATCGTAGCCTAATATTAATTGCAGGCAAACATTTTTATTGGCTGCTCAAAAATCTAATTTGCATAATTTATTCACACAATTGCTGGTTCTTACTACTTATGTCTAATACTGCGCATTGTCCATTTTAATTGTTCCTAATTTGCACCAAATGCTCCTGTCACACTGTATATGTGACTGTGACACTGTGTACTGACGATTTTTATTGCTCCTTGTATGCCTCTGTGCCGACAGACCTTTTGCACACCGTACAATCAAATGGGCAGACAGCTGCACCAGTATATACATGTCGGCGCGGGGAATACAATTGACGTACGGTAAGTATTCATCTACTTTTAACATATCCCAACTGTGTTCGAGTAAATCAATGTTATGGATTCATGGTCAACATCCAAAGGGACATGCTAACAAATTTCTGGCCCTGTGCAAGCTTTACTTCACGTGAATTTTGACTGAAAATAACCACACTATCCGATGAGATGCGGTATTTTTAGTTTAAAGTCACAAAAACTTATATTTTCTCATGATAACAAACCCTTTTTTCATACGATTCGTAAACGTCAACATTTCGTCATTAGATATTCCAAACCATACCTTCAAAAAAGCTTTTCTGTTAAAGTTATAAGGTATTTAAGTTTGAGTGTCATCAAAATTTTAGTAACGTCATCAGCTGTTCCCCTTTTTTTAATGATAACATCGACAGCAATTCGTCGGCAAGAATGAATAACGCTGAAAGCCGTTCAAAGAAACAATTTTCAGCGCTTTTGTGCTACAGTAACTAGGAAAGAGTAAATTTTTTTGCTCGTTTAAAATATTACTTTATTCATGATACTTTCTAATTATATTATTTTTATTATTAATTTATATTATTTGTTTTATATGTTTTCTTTTATATGTTGCCATGCAGTAAATGGCTGTGTAACCCGAGATGTCTGCCATATAAAATGATTTATTTAAAACATAAAAGTTTAAATAATTTTTAAGAATGATTATTATTTCTATTGCACTATACATTAAAACAGATTTTAAGGATAAAAAACAACATGTTTTTCCGTATTCAATATATGGATGGATGGATGGATGGACGGACGGACGTATGTATGTATGTATATGTTTTTGTGTGTATGCGCGTGTGCGTGCGTGTTTGCACTTATGTGTATGTGTGTGTGCGTGCGTATGCATGTGTATTTGTCTGTGCGTGTAGTATGTGAGTGTTTTGTGCGTATTTATGATTTTTTGTCTGTGCGTTCATGTAATTGCTTTATGAGAGTGTAATTTTTACGTGCATGTGTGTGTGTTTACAAGGTTGACTGCATACATATGGTACCATAAATTCATCCATCCGTCAATCCAACCATTTTTATTTGTTTGGGTCGTCAAACCAAACAAATAATGGTAGCGAAATTTCAGAGCCTAATGCTGTTAATTGCAAATGCCTAAAGTAGTCCACTATTTTGAAGCGGTTACTTCCCTTTATACGTAACGCCGAAAAATTCAGGGGGGATCAATGCGTAAAGATTGTCAAATGACAGGCGCATTAATTTTCAAACAAAGTAGTTCCCGCATGGTCGAAGATTTCTAATATTGTTTCATTCTTTATAGATTTACATGCTTACAGAAGCTCCATGATTATTTACATCTGTGTTAAACAACAGGTTTAGCGTCAAATAATAAGTTACAAACCCTTATTTAGAATAATATGGTTTTCTTCAAGCCATTTAAATAAAACTTTACCGTGGCCGAGGGGTTTGCAAGCTCGCGTAAGAATCGAGAGGTCTGGAGTTCAAATCCCAGTGGAGGCAACTCTTTTTTTAAGTCAATTTGACTATCAGTGTTGCAAGTAGTCTTATAGCCAAATTATTACAGTTAAAACACTGGAAAGCATTGGTGGCACTATACAAAAACAAATTGGTTTATTATCTCACAATCTTCACCTTTCTGTCATTCTGAGACCCAAACAAATTCAGCGACTTCTGTGCTTTGATTATATCATTCGATGATATGATGAAGTTAATTACTGCAATTATGACACATTGTGTTTTTGACTTTTCAGAATTTATAAGGGAGAAAAAGATACAGCAATGGATACTTATAACATTGACATTTTTAATATTCCAAGACATCATTAAGCATTTGGTGGAAACACATCCGCTGAACTGCCTGAAATATAGAGAATATGAGTTAAACAGTGTCACTGGTGTATCGGGGTATGGAACTAAAGACAAATTCACATGCATACGCACGCACACACATATACTCATAAGTGCAAACACGCACGCACATGCGCATACACACAAAATATATACATACATACATACATACATACATACATACGTACGTACGTACGTACGTACGTACGTACGTACGTACGTACGTCCGTCCGTCCGTCCGTCCGTCCGTCCGTCCGTCCATACATCCATCCATCCATCCATCCATCAATATATTGAATACGGAAAAACATGTTGATTTTGATCCTTAAAATCTGATTTAATTTATAGTGCAATAGAAATAATAATCATTCTTAAAAATTATTTATTTTTTTTGTTTTAAATAAATCATTTTATGTGGCAGACATCTCGGGTTACACAGCCATTTACTGCACGGGACATGTCTACTATATGCCATTATTTATAATAACACTGACTTGATGGATGCCTTTATTTATTATAAAGTGTATTCGTATTAAGCGTTAAATTTGCCTTTACTTTCTTTGAATTTAATATTTCAGAAACATATTAATAGATCTTGCTACCTTTTTATATTGAAATACAGTGCGGTAAATGGAGATAAAGGCCATATAATAGAAAGTAATAATAAAAATAATATAATTAGAAAGTATCATGAATAAAGTAATATTTTAAATGAGCAAAAATTTTTTACTCTTTCCTAGTTACTGTAGCACAAAAGCGCTGAAAATTGTTTCTTTGAACGGCTTTCAGCGTTATTCATTCTTGCCGATGAATTGCTGTCGATGTTATCATTAAAAAGAGTCGAACAGCTGATGACGTTACTAAAATTTTGATGACACTCAAACTTAAATACCTTATAACTTTAACAGAAAAGCTTTTTTGAAGGTATGGTTTGGAATATTTAATGACGAAATGTTGACGTTTACGAATCGTATGATAAAAGGATTTATTATCATGAGAAAATATAAGTTTTTGTGACTTTAAACTAAAACACAGCATCACATTGGATAGTGTGGTTATTTTCAGTCAAAATTCACGTGAAGTAAAGCTTGCACAGGGCCAGAAATTTGTTAGCATGTCCCTTAGGATGTTGACTGTGAATCCATAACATTGATTTACTCGAACACAGTTGGGATATGTTAAAAATAGATGAATACTTACCGTACGTCAATTGTATTCCCCGCGCCGACATGTATATACTCGTACAGCTGTGGACGCTGGAACAGCTGTCTGCCCATTTGATTGTACGGTGTGTTTTGATCATGCACAATGTTTCCCTGATTGGTTAACCACCCTTGTCAAATATTCTAATGACGAAATAGACATCTATTTTTTACGCTTCATCAGTGAACTGA